AAAACATATCTGGGAAAAAGGGGGTGTTCTTTTATTCGGGCCAACATGGTATATATATATATATAGTTAAAAGTAGTTCATACAACTTGTGTGCTTCGTCTTCTAATAGCTTTGACCGAAATTTAAGTTATTCACTTAAGATTGTCAGTTTTGCAGCTTCAAACACGGCTGACGACTGAATGCTTTGATTTGAGCACACAAGTGAACGGGATTTTCGCACGAGTTGTTCTGGCTGATGGATGTTAAACTGATGGAATGTGAGCAGGACGTGGGTTGTGGTCACATGACCTCCACATACCTGCACAGGTGGGACACATTTCCTGTGAAATTCCCTCCATGCTACGCCCTACATCCTTCACTCATTAAATATAGAAAACAACCTGAGTGTTCATTTTACATAAAGGAGGAGTGACGTGTAACATGGTGTCCAGACGCTGAAGATTGACTGTATCCTGAGCGGGTGTGTGTTTTAGTGTGGAGTGTAGTAAATCAATTTTTAGTGTTTAGCATTTTAGCGAGTGCTAATGTCTGATGAGCGAGCGAGCCGCTTGTTTCCTGCAGGAAGATAAACTGTAAACTAGAGCAGCTTTACTGGAGCTCATATGAATTATTCACGTTTCATCCTCATGAGTGGCCATAATGAACTGAGCTGCCTTTTTAGTTGCTATTCAAAATGAAGGTTGAGCCACAACAGGCTAGTTTTTTATGCTAAACATAAACTTTGATATGAATGCTTGTAGTTTTGGTATATCAGGGCAATTTTCATGACTTTTTTTTTTTTTTAAGATGGTGTTGCATTTAGTCCAGCAGTTTTTGAGTGCAAGAACACGTCTTAAGTAAAAACCTCCCAAGAAACGCATCCGATGAACTCTGTGAGCCTAATTATACAGGTTAATCATACAGTTAAAAGCAATTAGTTTTGCATATCCCTGTCACTCAGTATGTAGCACGAGTGCTTGACCTCTGAACCACAGACTCGTTAACTAAGTCAGAATGAAAGAGACTGAAACAGACTTATGTTATTGATCACAGAAGGGGAAATCAGATGCAAAAAAGCAGCAGGATCAAGTGCACAACACTTTGACAACACAACACTATGATCTTCAATCTTCAATCTTCTCCCTTTGTTTAAATCTGTGAAAATGGTCAAAAAACAAACAGCCGCGTTGGGACGTTCTGGCCTTTTTTCTGGAGCTGTTCATGTAAATGTGTGCATGAATTATGAACGTGTGCAGGGCGGCTGTGGGACTCGAGTCAGAGTCCGGTCTTTGCTCATTGTTTTAAATCATCTACACTGGGGGGGAAAAAAAAGATTTACTTTGAAACAATTTTCAATTAGGAATTGCTAGTAAATTTCACAAATAATCGCAAAGTAATGGCAAATAGCACATTGAATTAAACATGACATTTTAAAGCAGAAAGACTGAAATCGTTTTTGTTTTGTTTTTTGTAAATTTACTTCAATAACATTTTACAGTCTTTTATCTTTTCAACTTCAAATTTTTTTTTTACAGTGTATTCTGAACTTAGTACCTAATGTGTGGGTCTTTGACCTACTTTTATATTCATTATGTTTTACATTTATTTATAATTTTGTTATATTATTTATTAAATATTAATAAAATAAATGCATGTGTTAAATATATAATAATGATAAAAAAAATTGTTACATTTTAAATTTGTTTTGGAGTGTGTGTATATATATATATATATATGCATATACATATATACAGTATATGAAAACAGGTTTAAGCATAAAAACAATAAGTGCAATACTGCTTTAAATAGTTGTTTTTACCCCCCCCCAAAAAAAAATCTGTTTAATTGAATTGCAATTTTGTTTTTGTTTTTTCTGAGCAAAAAAATTAATATCATACATTTTCCCCTGATTTACAGAAGAGATGATTTTTGTTGTAAAGATTGTTACACTAAATGACATTTTAGTGGGTCTCTTCTGTAAATCAGGGGAAAATGTATGATATTAATTTTTTTGCTCAGAAAAAACAAAAACAAAATTGCAATTCAATTAAACAGATTTTTTATATAATTATTTAAAATATGTAAAAATATAAGTTCTACAATTAGCTATATATATTTTGTGTATCTTATATTTTTATGTAGAATTTAAATAGAATTTAATAAACATTTAGGTAGAAACTAGATTATATTATTCCATATTAATTAATGATTTAACATTTATTAATATAAATTATATTATTTATAATATATATTCTCACACATTATATAAATAATGATTTATCATTCAGTAATATAAAATTATTAAAATAAAAAATTCATGACTTGTATTTTAAGTTGTGTTCAGAGGTGAGTAGATGCTGAGTGTGTGTGTGTGTGTGTGTGTGTGTGTGTAGGTGATAAACGTGGATGATGACGGTAATGAGCTGGGCTCGGGTGTGATGGAGTTAACGGAGGAAGAGCTCATTCTGCACACGCGCAAACGAGACACCGTTAAGTGGCCCTACCTCTGCCTGCGTCGCTATGGTTACGACTCCAACCTCTTCTCCTTCGAGAGCGGCCGGCGCTGCCAAACCGGTCAAGGTGAGGCTTTTTCTTTTAACCTGTTCACTCTCTATCAGATATTGTTGTGCAAATAGCACATTGAATTAAACATGACATTTTAAAGCAGAAAGACTGAAATCGTTTTTGTTTTGTTTTTTGTAAATTTACTTCAATAACATTTTACAGTCTTTTATCTTTTCAACTTCAAATTTTTTTTTTACAGTGTATTCTGAACTTAGTACCTAATGTGTGGGTCTTTGACCTACTTTTATATTCATTATGTTTTACATTTATTTATAATTTTGTTATATTATTTATTAAATATTAATAAAATAAATGCATGTGTTAAATATATAATAATGATAAAAAAAATTGTTACATTTTAAATTTGTTTTGGAGTGTGTGTATATATATATATGCATATACATATATACAGTATATGAAAACAAGTTTAAGCATAAAAACAATAAGTGCAATACTGCTTTAAATAGTTGTTTTTACCCCCCCCCAAAAAAAAATCTGTTTAATTGAATTGCAATTTTGTTTTTGTTTTTTCTGAGCAAAAAAATTAATATCATACATTTTCCCCTGATTTACAGAAGAGACCCACTAAAATGTCATTTAGTGTAACAATCTTTACAACAAAAATCAATTTATGACATATTAAAAGACTAATTACTTTCACCCCAAATACTAATTAGTTGTACTAACGGAGGAAGAGCTCATTCTGCACACGCGCAAACGAGACACCGTTAAGTGGCCCTACCTCTGCCTGCGTCGCTATGGTTACGACTCCAACCTCTTCTCCTTCGAGAGCGGCCGGCGCTGCCAAACCGGTCAAGGTGAGGCTTTTTCTTTTAACCTGTTCACTCTCTATCAGATATTGTTGTTGTCATTCACATTCATACTTCACTCTTCTCCTCTCAGGGATATTTGCGTTCAAGTGTGCACGGGCCGAGGAGATCTTTAACATGCTGCAGGACATCATGCACAACAACAGCATCAGTGTCGTGGAGGAGCCCGTGCTGGAGCCTGAACTCCCAGTGACGCCTCACACTCCCACCAGTAAGAACACACACACTCACACACACACACTCTAGTCCTCACGCTCAGACTGGAGTCTCTCACTAACCCCTCATCCGCTCTCTCTGCAGCTCCCGGTTACTCTGTCCCAACGGTAGCCAATGGGATCGGCCGTTACCCGTCATTCGGCGACGCCTCCTCGCAGCCATCCAGCCGCCACCCTTCAGTGGGCAGCACTAGGTTACCGTCAGTAGGGGAGGAGTCCACACACCCACTGCTGCTCAACGATGAAATGGTACGCAACGCACATACAGTAACACTGTACAGTAAGGGCTCATGAACATCAACAATTAAACTGCAACATTCATTAGTCTTGTTAATTTTAGGCCTGTCACGATAACTTTTTGTTGTGCGATATATTGCCCCAGAAATAATTGCGATAAGCGATATTGTTGTCATTTTAAAGACCATTTTATGCCACTGAATATATAATCATAATGTAACAGCATAATAATGCAAGAAGGCCTACACACTTCCAAATGACAACAAACTTTTAATTTTTAAGAATATTTAGATCGTGGAGATTAAGTATCAAAATATTAGATACCTTAAAAACCTGAATAAATAGTAAATAAACATTTTCTAACAAAAAGTGCAAAGTAACAAGTAGAAAAAAAGACAAATGCACAAAGAACTTGTATGGAGATTTTTCCATCTACAGATTTTCCCCAGACCTTCTTTTCTCTGTAAATGAAGGGTGCACAACACTAAGATGTCTGTATGCACACGAGACGCAAGTGGAATGTACAAAACATGGTGACATTAATCTTTAAGTAAATATAATGGGCGATATATTGCGTCACCAAAAATGATTGAGGTCATGTACATATATTGCGCGATAAGACAATATATTGATTATTGCGACAGGCCTAGTTAATTTCAACATTTACTAAAACATTGTTAAAATTAAAAGCTATATTTGCTAACATTAGATAGTGCTCAGTGAACATGAACAATGAACAATTGTGTCTTTATGAACTTGACAACGATGATTAAATGTTACAAACAATATATTGCTTACTGTTAGTTCATGTTAGTAAATACATTAACTAATGTTAACAAATGAAACCTTATTGTAAAGTGTTATCAAAATTAGTGTCTCATGAGAATGTCAATGTAAATTGTATTTTATCATGTTTGTTTTATTATTTATATTACTTTTTTTATAATACATATGTTTTATGTATTTGTTATATTTATATATATATATATATATATATATAAGATTATTTAAAATATAAATTGTATATTTATATTATATATTTACATTTTATGAATTTGAACATGCATAAATTTGTATAAATATATACATATGAATTTAAACATAAATATACAACATATATAAAGATAAACAATAATATATTATAACTGATAATGTTTTATATGATATAATATTAGATAAACTATTTAAATAAATTATTTATTGAAGTATTATGTATTTTATACATTTATATATCCATAAATATTCAAATATTTATATTCATATATAACAGTAACAAAGATATAAAACATTAACATTCTAATATTATATATACACGTTCTCTTTCTATATTATTAAATATTAAATACTATTTAAATAAAAAATTAAGTATTATGTATATATATATATATTATATTAAATATTTGTATACATTATTTTATATATATTTGATACATTTATACACACACACGCATATAAACAAGTTTAAAGATATCAATATAAAACAACAATACTATAATAAATTGTAAATAAATGATATATTTGATCACTTCAAGTATTATATTAAGTATTACGTTTTTTTAGTATTTCAGTAGTATAGTATTTTATATTTTAAGTAGTAAGTATAATATATTTATTTATTTATTTATTGTTTTATTGTGGCCTTTTTAAATGGATAATTTAATGCCATTTTGGCAGTGCTGCTCTTATTTGATAAGAAACCATAAAACTCTTTTTCATCTTTTTCTGTTTCTGATGAATGGTGGCTGTGCAGATGCACACTTATGTGAACACGACGGGTCTACAAGAGGAGCGGCGCTCTCGCGGCGGTGGCCACGCCCTTCTGGAACTCCGGACGTCCAATCCAGAGAGCGCAGCCGCAGCGTCGCCCAATGAGCTGGAGCCGCACGTGGTGTTGGAGATGGAGGGCGTGAAGTTTGTTTTAGGCCCTACACCTGTCCAGAGACAGATGCTGCTCAAGGAGAGGCAGGAAGAGCGGGGCGAGCAGGACGCAGGAGCGGCGGGTTCCAGTACTGATGCCACTTCTCCCGCAAAGACTGTAAACGGCGGCACGGACTGCGACACCGGCTACGACAGCGATGAGCGCAAGGAGACGCCACATGAGACTCATAACGGAGTGCTGCCGATCACCGGATCCCGTGCGAGACGCAACAGACCTCCCATTCCGCTCCCAGACGCCCACAACGCTAACAACTCAGCCCAGCGGCGGACCGCGCTGCTCAACTACGAGAACCTGCCGGCGCTGCCGCCCGTTTGGGAAACCCGCAAACCCAACAGCCACGAGGAGGAACTCAAATCGCCGTTTCTAAATGGCTTCCACTCCCTCGATCACAACTATGTGAACACGGAGAACGTCAAACTCCTCAGCTCCAGCACTCAGCACACCGTATTCAACTTTGACCTCCGCAGGCTCGGCATGGCTGACCCGCTCCGCCAGCTCAACTACATCGAGGTGGAGATGGACAAAGTGTCGGACTCCAGTGGGCCGCACACCCCTAAAACCCCCACCACGCCCCTGCCGCCCACCCCCACGCGCCGGACAGAGCTGTACACCGTCATCGACATCGAGCGCACGGCTGCCATGTCCAGCCTGCAGAAAGCACAGCCACGGGACGACGGCTCATCCAGGAAAACACGACACAACAGTACCGACCTGCCCATGTGACCCGACCAGCCAGAATGCACAAGTTTATCTCACCATAAACACCTTTAGGTCACATTTCACTACTTAATATCAAGAAATAAATAACTATATTTCAAAGTAAGTGGTTTTTAAACATGCAAACTTGAAATAATTTTGAAAGAAGTCTCACCAAAGCTGCATTTATTTGACCAAACATACAGTAAAAACAGCAATAATGTGAAACATTATTACAATTTAAAAGAACTGTTTTCTATGTGAATACATGGTAAAATGTAATTTATTTCTGTGATGCGCAGCTGTATTTTCAGCATCATTCCTCCAGTCTTCAGTGTCACATGATCTTCAGAAATCATTCTAATATGCTGATTTGCTGTTCAAGAAACATTTCTGATTATTATCAATGTTGAAAATAGTTGTGCTGCCCAATATTTTTGTGGAAACCATGATATAATGCCGATCAAAAGTTTAGGGTACATAAGAAATTTATACTTATTCCACAATTATGCATTAAATCTATCTATCTATCTATCTATATATATATATATATATATAT